GATGCATGTTTTAGATGCATGTATTCCCCAGAGGCAGTTAGCAAACTGCACTCGCTGTCTTGAGCTGCTTATAAAGCTTTTTATTTCTCTCTCTCTGGGGTGGGTGGAGGGAAGGCATCGGCAGGTAGGTAGGGCGATGGCAGCGTCAAGTTCCTGACACCGTGTTTTCCGTGCGAATCTGACCAGAAAGCTGATGGCTGATACGGCGAGCCCGGCACCGGTAGATGGGTGGGGAAGAGGATTCAGGAGCTGAGGTTGTGCAACACCGTTCGCGCTGGTGGATGTGAATGGACTAATCCAATGTAAACATCTCTTTGGGTTGGTGTAATGTGAGACCCCAGTGTCTGTCTCCACACCGGCTGTGGTCCCGCTTCACTCAGGAAAAGAGAGATTTCTCCAGCAGCGGGGATCCCCACCTCCGCCTGACAATATTTTTTCCTTGACTGCCTCTTGTTTTTACTTTGCACGGAAGTTTTTTTTTAAGAAAGGGGGCGGCTGTTTCCCCCCACCACCGCCTCTCTCTCTCTCTCTCTACGCTCCCCACCCCGCCTTCCCCGAGGATGAAATTGTAACATTTTCTTTCCACACACTTGGCGCTTCTTGAGAGAGTGAGTGGGAAATGGCGCTAAATGCGGAGGTCGCCTTCGAGAATTTGGGCGGATCTGGACACACGGCCTCGACCAAGGAGCACCAGGAGACCGAGAAACTTCTCAACATCTCCGAAGCCAACCTAGAGAATGGCATCAAAGAGTCCAGCGCGTTCCCCGCCAGCCCTCCGAGCGGCAAGAAGGCGTTGAGCGAGCCGAACGGCCACGGCGTGCCCAGCTTCTCCTCCGAGTCCATGCCCAAAATCGGAGTGCCTCCGGCATCCCCATCCCGGCTCAGCCTGGGCAGAGCATCGTCCACGGTCACCACTAGCGGACAGGACCAGACCCCACCCAGAGACTACCTGGTGTTGGCCATTGTCTCCTGTTTCTGCCCCATCTGGCCCATCAACATCGTGGCGCTGGTCTATTCTATCATGGTGAGTGCATATGTCTGCAACTTTCTCCCATTTGCCACTCAGATCATCAGCGATGCTTGTCCAGCGGTAGAATGTGCCTCACAAAGAATTTCATACCTGCGCTCCCCCCCTCGCAGCTTGTTTTAACTGTGTGTGTGTACCCCCCCCCCCCACCGCCCCAGTAGCTTGTTTTAACTCTGTGTGTAACCCCCTGATTCCCTTCAATCATTGTACCCCCTACCTCCCCAGTAGCTTGTTTTAACTCTGTGTATAACCCCCTGATTCCCTTCAGTCACTGTACCCCCCTACCTCCCCAGTGGCTTGTTTTAACTCTCTCCCTCTCTGTCTATAACCATTCAGCCCCTTCTTTTGGGCAACCCGCTCTTCAAAGGAGCATCACTCCCTCTGCTTTTCACCAAACTATTATTGATCAAACTAATCACCCAATACCCTCTTGGATGCCTCGAATACTGTAGAATCTTTATCATTTGGGGCTCGGAAAACAAAACTTCTCCTCTATAGGAGACAGACTTCTCCAAAGTTAGCACTTTCCCTAATAAAACAAGCCCTGTTGAGAAAATGTGAATCTTTCCCGGTTATATAAATTCTTGATCAACACAAGTCGCTAAGGGCAAATGTCCCAAGTTTTCGTGTTAATGTTGGCTGCTCGGTGTGTATTGTAGGCAGACAGGCTGCAAGAGTCTTTTGATTTAGGAGAGCGAGAAAAGGCTAACAAGGTAAAATAACAAGTTGCCGGCTACTATCATTGGAGGCTGTAGGAGGTGTGGCACCTTGGCGATTCAGTGAGTGAAGGGCTGCTCTCGAACTCGGTTTAGCCCGAGGTTGGGTTTCTCTGGGAGAGGCGATGCCCATTCCCTGTGCATTTCCCGGAGCTATTGACACATCCAACCAAGCAGCGGTGGCCGCATTTGTTTCTGTTTACTGAGGGTTTATGCAAACATAATTTGTACCCCAGGCAAACGCGACCGTTTAAATGTTGCCATTTTCCAATCCTGAGGGCTTTAATTCAGTCGGAGAGTGGGGCTGTTTGCCAGGCACATCCCTTTATCCGCATCTCTGCCCAAACTGGTTGACCTGGGAGTCCCTCAAGCCAACTTCCTTTGTCTAAACTAGCTGCCCAATTCTGCCACCAGAAGACACTCTGTGTGTTGAACTCTTAAAAAAGCGGAAGCGCAGCTCTCCCTGAATCCGAACTGACCGTGCTCAGTGTCAGACCATCCGTGAGGTACTCAGCGTCCTCAGCAAGTGCAGAAGTTGTTTTCAGGAACCTGGGGCTAGAGATGTTAAAATACCGCAAAGATTCCCGCTCGTCCTTCCTCTCCACTGCCTCACTACTTTCCTTAGAAGTTTAATCTTATTGAATATTAATGAGCGAGGTGGGGTGTCGGGGCAGGATTGGGCTCTTCAGTGGTATTGTCTATAGGAAGTCTAGGCTCACAAATGCTAAATGGGGAGTTGGATGAGGTGCTGGAAGGTACCTACCCATGGGGCCCTGTGCCAACAAGCTTGAGTGTGTTTAGAAAACTAGGGGAGGGACATTTACTAGGTTACCGTGTCTTTTTAAAAAATGCTGTTTGCCTTGCTCCTCCCCCACCCCAAACTTAATTACCCATTCAACAAATGAGATTAGCAAATAATAACAAAACAATCAGGTGCAAAAATTTGGTCATTTCTTTGCAATATGTTCATCCATTTTCTCTCTCAAGTGTAACACATTATTGGCTTGTTCATAATTGGCTTTGTAGGGACCCATTGTTGTAGGCTTCCACTATATCCTGTTAAGGTTCTTCTAATTCTGTGGATTATGTCAATTCTTCTATACCCCAGAACTACAGTTATTTCAGAGGCAGTGTTCAGGACAGATGCTGTTCAGAAACTACCCAATCTCACACAATGCATGTGTCAAATTCCTAGGATAAATTCTCAGGACAGGAACAAGCCCACCCACCCACCCCAGTCCTCTCCTTTTGCAGATTTTGATTACTAGATTGACGGGAGAATTCAAAATTCAAATTATGTAGCAAAGACTGATAAATGGCCATTCTTTTACAAAGACTAGATTTCAGGATTGAAATTACTTATTAATCTTCCTTCATTTAACATAGAAACATAAATTTGACACAAATGTGAGTGGGTATTTCAAATGTACAGCTGTTTAAATGCAGTTTCTTTGCTGAAATGATTGTCGGTTTAGTGGTTCAGTTTAGCAGGATTGAGTGAGGATCAATTTAGAAAATTTTACATCTGTGACTTGGAATAATTATTCGTTGATATCCATTTGCTGATTGGCCCTTGATTTGATGATAGTTGAATGCAAACACAATATATGTAATTTTCTGGTTCTAAAACACAGGTCAGCACGCATCTGATAGATAATAGGATATGGGATTGCATAATAAAATTGGTTTACTGCTGTCAGTTACATGACAAGTAAATTATGTTATGCCATCTTTTTATGTTGCCTACAGGCAGGTGCACAATAAGGGGTGACAACTCCCCATTGAAGTAAAGATGTACCATTTAATATGTAATATGATCTCATGTTTGTGCACTGATATCTGACCAGTTATGATCCTTTTTATGGATTGATCTATGGATGAAACAATTGCTCAGATGTTTACATTTTTATTAGCTATCTATGGATGATTAATTTGAACTTACAAGTTCATTTAAAATTAATTAAATACATATCACTCCAATGAAAAGCAAGTATGGTGAATATACTTTCGCCATCAGTAAAATTGCAGAGGTGCATTTTACAATATTTTGCTTGAAGAAGTTTATAGTCATGAGGGTGAGGCAGTAATTGTGATTGGCTCACAAAGGATAAGGAAGGGAAGGTTAGAATTTGGTAATGTTAGTGCAATACTGTTCTTCCCAAATTAGTAATACGGAACTATTTCTAACAAATGGAATTGTTCAGTTTCAGACTTGGACAATTAACAGGCACTAATTACCGCAACTGTCCCTCACTTGGGAAGGGAAACTTGGCCAGGACTCCTACTCCTAATTGATGTTCCATAGCTGCTGCAGAAATGTGCAATTAAGGCTTCCTTGATGTCCTCGTGGTTAAATGCCTGTCAAGACTCTCAGCAAAATGTAGGCCACTAAATGTTGGTCAATGTTAGTTGAACCCTGCTTATTAAGAAGTTAAGTCTAAAGACGCGAACGAAAGGTTGGGTGAAAGAAGTTCCATTGAGTTCTACAATATAAAACCTATTTGTTGAAAGAAACATATTCCAATATACAATTAATAAAACAAACTTGCATTTCTGTTTAATTACTTCTTGATTAATATTCAAATTTGTTCTAATGTGTGCAATATTAATAAGAAAGACGACATCCCTGGTTCTTTAGGGATTTTAGCACACCAGGGATCCTGTTGTGAAATTAAGAACTGTAATTAGCTACAATGTGCCAAATCCTTAATAAACAGTACAGCATCAAGCCCAATGTTAGCTTTATAATTCACCATTTGTACTAATTGCTTTCCTTTTTAAATCCTGGTGCCATATACTGCAATATCCTACACTGCACATTCTTGTAATGAACAAATTAGTCAGGCTGAGATTGAATGCAGTTCTACTGACGGGATTTCTTTGATATTTTTCAGCCAACAGGATAATCTCATTTAAGACTAGCTGTAATTTAATACAGTGGTCATTGTTTATGCTGGTGCCACCCTGTGCCGTAACATGTTTTTAGCAACAGAACTATCCGTACAGAACTACATCACTTGTCAAAGCTCTAACAATTTGCAAGAAAGTACAAAACTGTGACTCCAGACTACTTAGTTGAAGTGATGTTACAGTAATGAGTGTATTGATTTACTGTAATGACCAGCTGCATCAAGCAGTCCTGGCTTAAATCTCTAATGCAGTGTTTTGTGTCTTTGCCAAACCATACCACACCCTTCCTCATCATCATCTGCAATCATACGTTTTGTGCTTGATATTAACAAATCAATATTTTACTTCATGTACATGAAAATTCAACCAAAAATACATTGTAAATCTCTTGTTCTACTTTTTCACATGGGAATACTGCCTTACAAGAACTATCGTTTGTGAGCAGTACCTGATCACTGTAGTTTTATAACATTACTGTTTGGCATCCACATTGATTTGCCCATTACATTGCATTGGCAATATCTTTCAATGAAACCATATGGGTCGGGCATTCTGCTTTTAAAGACAACACTAAACCAGGAGGTGAAGAAACTTTGGCCAGTCAAAATTAGTGATGTTTGGTATTGAGAATAAAAATATATATTTCTAATTATTAGCAACATCAAACATTACTAAGTTCAGTACATATATGATAGAGGTAGGATAATACTTCTTTGCATCCAGGATGTATTCCATTAAATCATCAACTATCCCAATAGCTCGATTGACAGCATTTATTAGCACTGAGTATGTGCCATAAATTTGTAAGACATGAGGTCATGATTTCAGAGTGGATAAGCTCACTTTACTTGAGACACTTTTTTGATATTCCAGGCTTTCATCAAATTGATCTGAACTGGATTGAAATTCAGGACACAAAAGTGAAGAAATAATGCATGTTATAACTCACTAAGCTTAAGAACATTTACCTCAAGATAATAGGGATGTTCTTTTAAAGAAATATTCCTTAAGAAGCTACTTTAATTGCATTATCTGAGAGATATATCACTAAGACCAGATATGTTTATGTTTATATTCTGATCAATAAGTTTAAAGTGAACGTATCAAAATTTCCAAAGCTGGTGACTGTCCTGATGGATGGAGCCAGTCTTTCTGTTCTGTTAGCCCTGAGTTGTAACATCAGTGCCTACCAGAATGCATCTGAGCTGCCCAGTCTGCATCGGCAATCCTTTTTAGCATTTCTAAGCTAGAAGGAGAACTGGCAGATCCACCAGCTCAGGGGTCACTTTAGTGTATTTCCAAATTATACCGATTTGTAGTTTTAAGATTTTGAGAATCCAATCTAAAGAGGCAAAATATGATGTAGAATAGAGCATTTTCTGTAGCAATTTAGCAGCATTTAAAAATGCTTAATGTCCTTCTGTAAACATTTAATCCAACCGGCAATCCTATTAAAAAATCTTCAGGTCTAATGAAATAATAGTGACTTGGATCTGAATGTGTGTCTTTGTTCTATCTTTGAAATGCCACATGAACAGTACAGACAGCAAGATGAGCAGCAGGAACGTTTAGCCAGGCATAAAGTTGTCACAGCTTGGTGCCTCTGCTCTCCCTAGAAACAGTCAATCTCCAGGAGAATGACAGCTCATACCACAAGCCAAAGTTATTGTAGGGGAATTTTAAGATGCTCAAATTAGAATCTTCTTTTTAAATGAATGAGTGACTGTATCCACATTATATCAAGAAAAAGGCTTTCCACATCCCTAACAGGGCTCTAGATTCCTGGAGGCAATTCCATTCCTTATAAAAGATTCTCAGAAATCAATTACCTTGCAGTCTTGTTAAGTACTTGAATTTGTTTAGGAAATTGTCAAATAATAAAAATTGCAGTATTTTATCCTGTTATTTCCTTATCTAATCTGTACTGTAATGACAGTGAAAGAAAATACAATATAAGGATGCCTGTTTGAGATTCTGTAATTATATAATTCCAAATTACTTTGAAGGTTTCTTTTTTCAATTACATTACACTAATCCATTTAATAAAATCGAGCCCAGTATAAGGTGATCTTTGGTTCATTTGAAATACTTTAAAATACATTGAAAAGCATGTAAGCAGCCACTTATAGTATTAACATTCATGGACTCAAGTGTAAAATAAACAAATTACCCTTTTAAAGAAATATTTTAAGTGCCTGTGGAAATAATTTTGAGACCAAACAGACGTTAGATTTCCATATCTTTCCTTGCTCATTTTGCTGTTTCCTTTATAGATAATGGATTTGTGCTTTAATAATAACATTTAAAATGTTGTGTTTGGCACGTAGGACAGTATCTGAATGGTATTACTTGCAAGTTTTCAGAAGTCTTGAGACAATAACTTTAATCCACAGTTAGCTACCAAATGAAAGAGTTGCTTACAATTTAGAATATATTTTTGAAAGTCTAACATTTGTTTTTATTTCTTTCATCCAATAGTCCAGAAACAGTTTACAACAAGGTGACGTGGATGGAGCCAGGAGACTGGGACGTCTCGCCAGATTATTGAGTATTGTAGCAATAGTCATGGGGGCCCTCATCATAATCACCTACTGTGTTGTCAACTTTGCAGGTAACAGTGGCTAGGAAATGAGGCAAATCTGAAGCACTGTGTATATGGACAGCTTATATTTATTAAAAGAATCACAATGGCCGTCAGGCTAATCTTCAATAATTTTGATGAATCGATACGCGTTGTTGCAAAGCTTAGACTATCAGGGAAAAAAAATTAATTGAATGTTAAATCAGAGGTGCTGCTTGGTTAGTGCATAGCAATATCAGTAACATTCATTTCACATCAAAAGGTTCTTTTTCATTTCCGGAATGTTTAGATTATGGTTGTACTATATTTAAACAAGTCATTGAATGATTGTTCAGCATTTGCAACTATAAATGTATACGGAGGACACATAGCATGAATCGAATAGGAATTTGATTTGATTCTAAGGTTGACTTGAAAATGTAATGGAAATGTCCTTCACAAGGAGCCACCAGGTGTTTTGTTGTCCCCTATTGCTGTACTTGGCTTGCATCAAAACTTTATTTTCTTATTTCTTGCATAAAAGCAACATTGTAAGCTGTTAGACTATAGAAAGATCATATGTTATGGAAAGTAGTTCCAGGGTAGTCAGTTACCATGTGGTAGAATGCCATGTCTAGCTTAAAACTCAGTGTCAAAAGATCAAATTACATAAACTAAGAAAAAACACTAGATTTTGAATTAAATGAGACATAGCAGCGTAAGATTCAATTCATTTCATGACATCTATGATAATGGAACCCTTGGGTAGACCTGGACACTGTCTAGGTTTGGGGTGACGTTGCCGTATGTGGCAAATAATGACCTGAGATTCATTAATAACCGCATGGGGGTGTGATCATTGACTGGACCAACAATATCAAATCATCAAGCCATGTGTGGCTAGAAAAGATGGGACAGGTATTGGATGTTCTAAGATAATTAACTCACTTTCTGGATCTGTTGTTGCCACTTTACCCATCTACAAGGCTGAAATCATGGATGTGACGGAATATTCATTGGATAAGTGCAATTGCAATAACTCTCAAGAACTCTGCTACCATCTAGAAAGAAGATGTCTGCTTGATCACCACCCTGCTATTGAACTTAATGTCCAGCTGTATCACCACCGCTGTGAGATTATAACATATATAGTCTGCAGGATGTCTTGCAGCACTGTGACCTCCACCATCAGACTGGATGAAGGCAACATCGCCGTCATCTGCAAGATCTTCTGTTTATTACGCACTACTGGTCTAAATGCTGGAATGCCCTATCTATCAGTAACATGGAATCACCATGAACACAAGTACTCAGTGGTTCTAAGAGAAAGCCTATTAGACATCAAGGCAACCAGTGAAAACAATAAATGTTACTGTACTGGCATTGCTTGCAACCTGAGAATACGTTAATAAAGGGAAATGGAAATGTTACTATAGTGATTAAGTTACTAGACTAATGATCTCGAGAAGTGAGTTCAAATCCTGCTACAGAAGTTGGGTAATTTACAAAATTAATTCTGGAATGAGAAACTAGTATCAGTAATTAGTATCCAGGGATGTGCAAGCTAGGTGGATTAGCCATAGTAAAAATGCAGGGTTATGGGGATAGAGTTAGGGGGCTGGGTCTGAGTGAGATGCTCTTCAGGGGGTTGGTGCATACTTAATGGGCTAAATGGCCTCTTTCTGCATTGTAGGCGTTCTATGATAATGATGACCATGCAATTACCAGATCGTTGCAAAAGTCAATTTGATTCACTAATGCCTTTTAGGGAAGGATATTTGCCATCGTTGCCTGGTCTGTGGCTCCAGACTCACAGCATTATGGCTGACTCTTAACTGTCTAATGAAATGGTACACAGTTAAGGGCAATTAGGAATGGACAATAAATAGTGGCCTTGGCAACATCATCCACATCCTGTAAATAAATTAATAGATTTAAATTGGCCTTATAGTTGAACCAACCAAGTTGTGAATAGAATGTTATTTAAATAGAATTATATTCAACAATGAACAGGTCCAAGCTTTTATCTTTGTAGGTTAAACAGGTGTATGATAGACTCTTAGGGGTAACAGAATGAACATTTCTGTTAATTTTCATTATGTCTTAAATTGATGATATTAGCAGAACTTGATAATCTGTTTAAGTATAAATTATCATTGCCAGGCTTCCTGCCTGACATAATTCAAGCCAGTGAAAGGAGAAACATAGTGTAATAAGAATGAGTGCTTGGGCTTTGGGGACAACCTTCCTTGTGGTTGCCTGTGGTCTTAATGCCAGAGACTGAGCAATCCCAACTCTTATAAATGTTTTTCTGTAGCTTTGTTGCTGTTAGAGAGTTAAATAGCTGTGTACTTATTGTCATTGTCTTACCGTATGGAACTGCTGATCTTATCCCTGACTGATTTTAATCAATGTGCTATATCGAACACCCCCGGATTTAATATCATGTCATTCTGTTCTGATCTAAGTTAGGAGAATGGTGCCCCACGAGTGTTTGTTTTTTTTTCTGATAACACATTAGCGGAGCTTTTTGTACGATTTGCCTGCTTGAAGTGTGTAATACTGTTATAATTGATCTAAGACAATAGATGTCTCTTCTTGTAACTATTAGGGTAATATGGGAATTCAGTAGAAAGTATTTGACATTTAAATGCGAATGGTGTTTCAATAAAGAAATGGTATGTTTCCCTTACGTCATTATCAGTAACATATTAAAATTCTAGTAACTGCTAGAACAAATTACACATCATCACACTTTCTTACAATAATGGAATCCCAATAACAGAATTTTATAGCACAGAAGGAGCCCTTTCAGCCCATCAGGTCTGCACCAGCCAACAAGGAGCCATCCAGCCAAATCCCATTTTCCAACTCTTGATTTGTAACCTTATAGATCATGGCTCTTCATGTGTGAATCCTTGTAATTTGTAAATGTTCTGATGGTTACCATTGTACGATTGTACCATTCAGGCAGTGAGTTCCAGACCCCCATTACCCTATGGGTGAAAACATTTCCCTTTGAATCCCCTTGACACCTCCTACTGCTTATCTGAAATCTACACTCCCAGGTTATGGGCTTTTCTATCCATTCTGTCTAGATCCTTTATTAATTGTATACACAATGTAATGACCAGAACTCCAGCTTGGCCTAATTATTTATAACATTTTATACTGTTCTAGATGGCTCAGTGGTTAGCACTGCTGCCTCACAGCGCCAGGGACCGGGTTTGATTCCACCCTCTGGCAACTGTCTGTGTGGAGTTTGCACATTCTCCCTGTGTCTCCGTGGGTTTCCTCCGGGTGCTCTGGTTTCCTCCCACAGTCCAAAGATATGCAGTTTGGGTGGATTGGCCATGCTAAATTGCCCATAGTGTTCAGGGATGTGCAGGTTAGGTGGATTACCCATGGGAAATGCAAGGTTACAGGGATAGAGTAAGGGGGTAGGTCTAAGTGGGATGCTCTTTGGAGGATTGGTGTGGATTTGCTGGGCCAAATGGCCTGCTTCCACAGTGTGGGGATTCTATGATTCATACTTTCTGTAGTAGTGGTGATCTGCTTATTTCTTCATCCCTTGTAGTTTCCTCTTCAGCTGCTAGTGGGAGTTCCCCATTTTGAATTCAAGTCTCCTAACATCTTGATTCTCTTTGTTCTTCTTGGTTTACATCCTTCTAATATTTCTTTATTTATCTCTTTCAGTAAACCCTTAAGCCTCAGAATTCAGCCAACCTATCCAACCACTTCTTGATGATGTTCTATGAGATACTAATGATCTTGTATTCTCCACCATCCTGTGAAACTCTTCATTGCTCTTCTGCTGTCTCTTATTCACCTGTTTCATCCATTTCCAGAGCTGCATTTCACCACCATCTAATCTTTGGGTGTCTACTTTTCTAAAGGCCCATATTTCAGACATATATGAATGGTAAAGTCATCATAGTCCCAGAGGACTGTAGGGCTGCTCTCATTAGAGAGAGATGACTGGTGGTGGTTTAATCTGAGGGTCGCTGCACCTCAGGTGAGGGGAGAGGTTGAGAAGGAGAGTCCTTAATGATAACCTCAGCTGGTGTGGGAGTCCCATATAACAACACACTCCAAATCCCAATTTTGAAGTCGCCAGGTCAGGACTTTTCACACCAACCCTAACTCTAAAATAAGCATTTTTATTATTGAATTTTTATTTGGAAGTTAATGATCACTTCCATGAAGACAAACATTATATTTGTGTACACTTAAAGTGGTCAAGATTATCAAATTCATTGAAAACATGTATACAATATACAATACAAATGTATACAATTTCATTCAGCTTGAAAAGAATTACCACTTAGCAGCAGAGTATGTCCTAAACATGTTAAAATCCATAAAAAAGTCACCCTCCTTGCCATCAACAGAATCAAATAACACTGCAGTCTGCTTCATGAATGGCATCATCATATGGGTCATCTTCAGCAGCAAACACGATGTTTGTGACCATGTCATTTCCCCAGAACAGTCATCTTCTGTGTCATCAAGTGCATTGGATTTCCCACATTTCCAAATGATTTTACCAGCCTCCTTTCTGATCTCAGCCTAGACCTCCACAATCCACACACACGGGTTGCTAATGTTTGATTATGTGTGCAGCTTCCCTTGGTAAATGTCATCCCTCACCTGATCATCCAGTCATTTCATATTCTCATGCTGTCTTTGCGGGCCTTACTTAGAGAAACTTCCAGTGGTTGAACAGGGCAGTTGAGACCACCTGGATTCACTATAGTATCACTGTTTTGTGATCTCAACAAGGTGTAATCTGAACTTGTCCCAGATGAGAAGTTTTTTTTCACATAATACTCCCACTCAGAAAATCTAAACCTTCCTCAGCCATAATTTCAAGCCACTTCTATCCATTCATCCTTTAGCATGAACGTGGACAACTGCTCCTTTTGGGAAGTGCTATTTTGCGACAGGCTTTTCTCTCGAACATGAAGCATGAGCTGACTGACACTGTTGTCACCCCTAACTTCGCTCACTATTTGACAGGCCGGTATGTCAAAATTCATGGGAGTCTCATGTTCCCAATCCAGGCCAATGCATTCGTTTGCCAATGTTCGATCATAGACCCCTGAAAAGCAATAAGCTGGGAGATCCTGTCAATGCTTAGTCTTTGGTCACCAAACAAAATTGTTTCACTTTCTGATACCCTTGGACAGTGCACAAGGTTAAATCAGCTGGATGGCTGGCTGGCTTATGATGCAGAGTGAGTCCAACAGTGTGGGTTTGATTCCCGTAGAGGTCCTGCTTTCTCAAAACCTTATCCCTTGCTTCTGATGTATTGACCCTTAGGATGAACCACCACCTTTTGTCTCTCTCTATGAGAGAGTACACCAATGGTGACTTTACCTTTTTACCATCCAGGACTAGCTTTGAAATCTGAAAAGCCTAATGTTGGAAATAGTTATTGCCTGGTATTTGTACAACGCAAATATTACTTGCTACTTGTCAGCCCAAACTTGGATATTGTCCAAGATTTGTTGCATTTGAACTTGGATGGCTTCAGTATCTGAGGAGTTGCAAATGCTGCTGAACACCCCCACATCTGATCTTATAATGGAGAGAAGGTCATTAATGAAGCAGCAGGAGATGGTTGGGCTTAGGACACTACTCTGAGGAACTCCTGCAGAGATGTCCTGAAGCTGAGATGACTGACTCCAGGAATCACAGCCATCTCCCTATGTGCCAGGTATGATTCCAACCAGCAGAGTTTTCCCTGATTCCATTGACTCCAATTTTGCTAGGTGTCCTTGATACCACACTCAGTAAAATGTGGCCCTGATGTTAAAGGTGCCACACTCACCTCATCTCTCACCTCAGCTCTTTTGTCCATGTTTGAACCAAGGCTTTAATGATTTCAGGAGCTGAGTGGCCCTGGCAGAACCCAAACTGGGCGTCACTGAGCAGGTTATTGTTGAGCTGGTGCTGCTTGATAGCACTGTTAGTGACACCTTCCATCATTTTACTGATGATCAAGAGTAGACTGCTGGGTCAGTAATGGCTGTGTTGGTAATTGGCTGGGTTGGATTTGTGCTGCTTTTTTCTGTACAGGACATTCTGGGTAATTTTCTACATTATTGGAACAGTTTGGTTAAGGACATGGAATATTTTGGAGCATAAGTGTTTAGAATTATTACTGAAATGTTGTCAGGGCCTATAGCCTTTGCAGCATCCAGTGCCTTTAGCTGTTTCTTGATATTACACAGAATGAGTTGATTTGACTGCAGGCTAGGGACTTCTGGAGGAGGTGAGGATGGATCGTCCACTTGGCATTTCTGGTGGAAGATTGTTGCAAATTCTACAGCCTTATTTTCTGCCCTGTTGTGCTGGGTTCTCTCACTACTGAGGATGGTGTTATTTGTGGAGCTTCCTCCTCCAGTGAGTCATTTAATTGTCCACCACCATTGATGACTGGATGTGGCAGGACTGTTGACCTTAGATTGGATCTGTTGGTTGTGGAGTCGTTTAACTCTGTCTATCACTTGCTGCTTTCACTGTTTTGACACACAAATAGCCCTATTTTGCAGGTTGCTGCTTAACGTTAAGTGTGCTGGTGCTGCTCCCTGCAAGCTCTTCTGTATTCTTTGTTGAAATGTTTGCCAGTTACTTTAAATGTGTGCCCATTGTTTATCATCCCCAATACCACCTGGAATAGTATCTCTTTATTTAGTCTGTACTCCTCTATTCAGTCTCCTCTTAGTTTTCTCTCCTCTGCAGTCAGCAATCCACAATTGCTTATCCTTGAAATTCTAGTAAATATATCCTCTATCCTCTTCAGCCCCTTCAAGTCTTTGCTAAGGTGTAATATCTGAAATTGGACAGAATGCTGCAGAACTAGTGACTTACATAGGCTTAAAGTAACTTCTGGCTAGTACATGCCCCCCTCTGTAAAGCATTAGACTTCACGTGGTTCATTATTTCTTAGTACAAACTTTTCCTTATTCTGGTTTGCTTTCTGAATTCAATTTGACTTTTGAGCCTATTTGAATTTAGACTCTCATTCAGACTCTGCATTGCTCATTCTTCAGCTTGAACTGATTGCTTCAGGGGATATAGCTATTTGCTCTCTCAGTACAGTTGTGTATGCCCTGTACAGGGCTCCAATCCTTTTCCATTTCACACTTACCCTGGCAAGCAGCACAAGGTTCCATGGAAATAAAGGGGACGAGGGTAAGTCTAATGAATGACAGGCAATGTTGGCTCACCAGTTCTGGTTAATTCTGGCTAATCATCGGATTGGCAATCGTCCTTGACACTTGAAATATCTCCACCCCCAGCAACAGAGAAAGAAACAGAATTAAATTCCACTGCATTAGAATGCCTTTCCAAAGATTTCCATTCCATCTGCTTATCGCTGGAGTGCAGGAGGGTTTTTTTAACTGCCATTACCATGAAGTTGCAAGATCTTTGTGCACCAAGATTGTTTTGCCTTTGAATTGTGAACAGTTCTCGGGTCAAAGTGGTGCATCAAGAAAATGTTGGATGTGCACATGTGAGGAAGGTTTCAGGAAGGTTTCAGGAAGGTATTACGCATGTCACCTTTGGGCAGAGTTGTGGGAGCAGGCAGCAAACTAAGAAGAGCTCATGTTATTCACGACAGCTGAACAAAGCTGTCTGAAAAAAAAAATTATTCAAAAGTTGGCATGTATTGTCAGAGAAAGTTGAAACTGCACTACTGGCACATCCAATTGATGCTAAATGTTACATTGACATTTGAGCACTAAGATCAGTAGGCAGAAGTGGGATGGATGCTGACTCTTGGCACTGATCCATGATATCCAGCCAGAAAACACACTTGTGAAAAAAATAATCTGAGCTCATCTTATTCTTGGAAAGGCAACTTAGCCTTCATGAGATTCCTGTACACCGGATGAAGGACGCTACATATCATGGAAGAGCCATTGTGATTTTTATCATAGCATGTGAGAGGGAACAACTGTGCATTTTTAAAGTATTTTCTTCCATTAGCTCTAATATAACAGTGTACATTTTGCACTTATGAAAATTTCTTAATTAAATTTGAAGTAATGGCATCTCAGTAGCTCATGCTGCAGTGTGTACATTGAAACCATGGAGCCGATACTGGCACAAAAATAGATCAAAAACTGAATAACACATCCTACCTAATTTAACAGTTTATGTAATGGATTCTCACTGTTCACTATTTGCCAGAAACATGTTTTTAATATTTCTGTTTGTGACTTCATTGTAAGTAGCAAAACGAAGATAATGCCTTTTTGTATTTTTATACTACATAGCAGATTTTCCAACATCAAGTTAAACAGAATGCCATTAAAAGGATCCATTAATTCACCAGATTTAAGTGTCTGTGAGAAATATCTGTTTTCATGCTGGCTTTATGAGCTGGAGGGCCTGAGAATGAAACAAGATTTTCTTTGCATCCGATGGGCCAGAGGACCACTTCCTAATTGGCTCTTCATGAAGCCACTAAATCCTTGAAAGCACCTTCCCTGGTTTTGAGTCTTATGCAACCAGCTCCCTGCAATCTGAATGAAAGCCTGCCAGGGCACGTCAAAACTAACGTGTGAACACTCACTGACAAAACCAAACTGCTACCAACAGTTGCACATTCCGCTGCCAACCACTAGGCCTGTGTCTGGGGAACTGAATGGCACCAGTGAGGGTTTTGTACATGATTTTAACAGACTGAGTGAGTCTATCACTCTATCCCCTCCTTCCGCACAAGAAAACACATTTTAACACCTTTGATACTTAATCTCATTCGATTCTCAAAGTTCATCTCACTATGACTCCATCCATCACAATGTAACTGACAGAATGTTCTTAGAAACAGTTATGAATCAATCGATTAAATTCTAATATCTTCCTTATATTTCAGTTACTGCATAGAAAACCTGCCACACCTCAAGAGAGTTTTGGATTAGTTCCTTTGGGACATAAAGAGAAGTCTGTCTCTTTATGGAAAACGGCAGTTTATGAAATCCAGAACAAGAGGATCTTCATCAAAGGCTACCCAGCCTTTCCAATTTAGCTTAATGTGCATCACTTACAACTCTGCATAATGAATGCTGGAAACAACATTCCTCTTAATTGACATCTGGCAACAGATCTGAAAGCTATTCAAAGCCAACTCCAGTGAGATACCTGAAAATAGACAGCTCTGCAGAATCCTTCTTGTTAGGAATGGCACAAGTGCATGCGCCTGAAAGCGGAGAAACTTGTTGGCATTTCAGATAACATGGTTACAAACCCCTTTCTGTGTTATTGCACAAAAACTGTCAAGTGCACACTGTGATTTTTGCCCTCTTTTGTACAAAAAGAAAAGGACAGTGTTGTCTACAGAGCTAAAACCTGCCAATGGCGAAGGAGGAAATGTTCAGTGAAAGAAACACAGAAAAGAAGCTAAGTGTTGAAAAGATTGGAGCGGAGAATGGAACCAACATTTATATCATTGGTTACTGGGTATCATGATGTTAGTTTTGGTAAATAGCACGATTTTGTACTTTTTATGAAAAAACACCACTTGCATGCAGAATATGAATGTGCTGTGATTGAATTATGTGGTTGAGGTATCTGTGGGTGCAGATGTAATGGTCATGTAGTTCGCTGTTGCATTATACCCGTTTTGTGGTTGTATTTGCCAAAACAATGAGTGTTACTCAAACATGATAGCTCTTTCTGATTGGTTTTGTCATTTTCACAGAACAATTGATTGTACAGGTACTTGAGAAGTAATCTCCAAGCCACTGAACCCTTTCCTTGGCAATTTATTGTGGTAGTGATTAAACTTACACAGCATTCAAGGAACGTGTCAATTAAATGTAACTATTTGTCATTTCTAAAAATGTGATTTTTTTTGGAAGCTGTAGTGTGGCTACAGTCTTTCTTCTTGATTTCTTTTGAGTAGGGAATGGTAAAAATATGAGTCCTGAATGTGTGATATTTGGAACATGAACAGGGAATTAATTTTTGGTGTGATTAGAGTTAAATTCTTTCTCAGTGGCTGAAGACTTTCAATCAAATTCATGAAACACCGTTTGGTTGCACAAATCAAGTTAAATAAATTGTGTAAGTAGAGAATTTCACATGGAGTAAAATCAGAGTTTATTTCTTTAATATTTAGTAAGCAACGTTTGGAGGGGATTTAATCGCAACAGTTTGTTAAAGCTTCTGTCCAAATTGAGAGGATAAATTCTTTCACCCCTCCATTCTTTAAATGTTACCCCAAGAACGTAAATGCATATTTGCTGTGTTGTTGTAACTGTGTGCATCTCAAAATTTCAGCATGCAACAGGGAGGGTGGGGAATGACCCTTCTGCAGGACTGGCAATGCACTTATTGGTACCACATTTGGTGGTCTGTAAATAAATATACATCTACATCTTTAATTTTGGACAGTTAGTACAGAGTTATGGATGGCTGATGGTACCACTCACTCCAGGCTCAAAAACATTTTTAAAAATTGTCCTTGTAAGAGATGTGGATGGTAAACAGGGCTTGAATGAGACTGAGACTCACTGACATTATCAGTGTAGTCTGGTATCAGCCATTGCACAGGATGGTTTAAGAAGAATATTCATTTTTACTTTTAGGTGGCATTAGTGTTTTGTGTTCACCAGGAGTTTGGTTCATCATGCCTTGTTTTTTATGGGAGGTAATACAAAGGCCAGCCCCACCCCTTTAAAACAGATTAAACCAACTGCTTTAAGTTAATTAATGCCTCACCAGGTTTGTATATGGTGGAATATGGGAAGATTGTGACATAATGCCATTGGACCAATCATCCTCATTTCCTGTGGGCAGAAGTTCAAATCCCAACTTGGTAGCTGGTGGAATTTGAATTGAATTAATAAATTTGGAATTGTAAAGCTAGTCTCTGTAATGGTGGCTATGACAAATATTGTTAATTATTGTAAAATCCCAACTGGTTTCACTGATATCTTTTATAGGGAAGGAAATCTGCCATCCTTACCTGGTCTAGCTGACATGTGACTCCAGACCCACAGCAATGTGAGTGACTCAGAAATGCCCTCTGAACAGGCCCAGAGAGGCAGTGAGTTCATTAGCAGTTGGGGATGGCCAATGACACATCCCATGAAGGAATAAAGATAAAAGAGGTTTCCCAAATATATATTTTGAATTCATTAAATATCTTAATAGAAAGTCAACTTGGCCACTTATTGTATTTGACACTCATTTCGAATCTTAATGTTTACTTATTCCATCTATTATTTTCAATGTTACTCAGAGATCCATTAATGTGTGCATATATCCTCGAGAATCCAGATATAAAATACACTTTAAGCCTTAATGGCTGCTTCCCTTGAGTCAATTCTCTGCATATATTCAGCTGCATGCAGGATGTATTGTAGGCAGCAGGACTAAAGCATTAAATAAACATGACTCACAAAACATTATTTCCTGGCAAGCCAGTTATTTTATTTTTAATATCCTGTTTCTCAAAGATTCACTAAACGTGTTTTAACAAGCAAATAAGTAGCCATACCACATTTCATTGAATTTCAGATTGACTTGAACCATATTTAGGGAGATTGTTACACTCTGGTCACATTGCTGAGTGAGAGAAAAGGCTTGTCTGATTGGTACCCTCCTCCTATGCACCAATAACAGTTTCTCAATTCCTCTAACAATCAATTGTCTAGTGGCATATTTACTGTAAATGACTATAATCCAATAGGAGCAAAAATAATCAAATGCATAGAATCTTCTACGTTAAAGGCCATCATTTCGTATATTTAGTATCTGATGGGTTCTTTTTCCATAACCCTACATTAAAGCTTGCTTGTTAATTGCCACTCTGAAATACCATCCATAAATCAGGCACACGTACTAGCCTAGACAACAAGGTGCAGGGCTGGATGAACACAGCAGGTCAAGCAGCATCATAGGAGCAGAGAGGCTGACGTTTCGGGCCTAG